GGATCTTACTGACGCAGAGGGTGCTTTTTCGTTCGCCTTATAGTTCATTTAAATTAAGGCCATTAGCATTATCGTACAGTTAAACACAACACATGCCGGCAGTACTGCTCCGCAGAGACAGTAACTCTGCAATGGCCTCTATCGACTGGACAATTAGACTCTTTCGGAAGAAAGAATCTTTCACTACCAACCAGAGATAATGTCGCCGAAGAAGGCTGTGTAAGCCCCCCTGCGCTTTTTACGTTCCACTGGTCTCTCTAGATGACTGTGATCGGGACGTCCTGCATAAGTGTGTATGCGTAATTTTTCCCTATTTACTGTATCTTTCCCTGATTCTTTCTCTATCAACCCTTATTTCCCCACACCAGTACAGGATAGCGAATTGGTTCTTCCACTAGGCTAACCTCCATGTCGCTTCCTTTTATTTATATCTCTCTCTAAACACAACAAATAGTGTATCCGGAGTTTAGTTGGCTTAAATGTCTATTGGTTTCATTAGTAGTGTCTAACAAACACCACGACTTCATCGGACAATCCCCCTTCGTTAGATAATCAAGGGTATTTTCTGTGAAATGTATGCATGGGCTATGTAAGTACGTTGATGTGCCATGTATACGTAGGCGTATTAATCTTTGTTGTTATCGGCATATGTCTAGATCTAACTGAAGATGAAGCATATCGGGATGTTCACTTGTCACAATGCCACGTTGACTGTTGTTTTTCTTTGGCATAACGATATCAAAAACGACATTCTCTTTGGGTATACCCATTGTTCTGTGGGCTTAGGGGAGTTTTACGGACACCCCGTATTCTGTGCTCGACTGCCTGTACAGCTGGAGTCAATGCATAACATGAAGCCCTACATTTTATCCGAGCATGCTTTTTCGAGTAAGGGACGCGTTCGCCTTTTTGCACTATTTATCATGCCTACTTACGCGCGACATTAGATCGTAATTATTTGTCGTCTTCGTCAGTGCCCCATTTGGCAATTACAGTTCCTCAATTTAATGATAAGATATTCTTTATTTTCAATTCATTTTGTATAAAACTGTAGACTGTAGTCAAAACAAGAGAGGATGTACATAGACAGAAAAATAAGAAAGATCATAACTTGCTGCGTAGCAGGGGTGAAGATGTTTTTGAATTCCGCTCTGTGATTGTTCAAAGGAAAAGTGAATATTTATATAAATTAGTTCTTGCGAATACAGGTTTAATGCAATGGCTGTGCTTGCGACGCGAGGCTCGACCTATGTGTTTTTGAAAGTAATCGTCAGATATGAATGCCGTCTCCTTTTTTAGTCGTTATTGAAGAGTTATCAGGCGATTGCTTCAAATCATTCAATAATTCACTGTTTTTCACTAATATATGGTATGTAGAAGATGTTGGCACCTCTGTACAGCACCGGCTTCTCACTCTCACGGATGATAGGATAAATGAAAAAATCAAAGCCGTGAAAGCAAACGATAAATAACAGGCAGGCAGAATTTATATCAGTTAGATCACGTAACAGCATGAGGAATTATTGCCCTCTGTGTACAGTACAATGAAGGAATCTTTAGCGAGAGCGTAGTGGACAATCGTGCTAAAAGTGGTGGCAAATCAGTGATTCGTTGGTTTTGTTCACAGCACGCCTAGTTAGTATGAATCCAACGATAGTAACAGCGCTAAAAAAACAACATCGGGCACCCAGAAAGCAGTGACTAAGACACGCGCTGACTTTCACCTTAGCTTTCCAATAAAAAAAAATAGATATATGCATAAAGAGATAACCATAGAATGCATGCGTGAAAAATTTTGCCTATACTTTGCCAGCACCTAATTCGAAAGCACATCGTAGCAAGTCCTGGATTATAATCCAAGAACGGTCTTTTTTTATCGGGCAGTGTCACCGACTCGTGATTGACACATGCTTGTGACGGTGAACTTGTGGTGAAGACATGCATCCTTATGCTGCCGCATGTATGTGTCAGTCAAGCGTTGATCTGACTGACATAAATATCGCTGTCTAAATCAAATACCAACTCAGGGCTGGACGGCACGCCGGCACTAAGCTGAACACGACCTTTAACAGCACGTTAACAGAAGTTCGTATTAAAGTTCAGCACATAGGCATGAAGTTGAATTTCAGCTGAACATAAGGTTGAAGCAAGTTTTCGCCTACATATGCTCAGAACAAGCTAAACATCACGATATCTTGTTTTATTTATCTATTTGTTTATGCACTCTGTAGCCTCGTAAAAATTGCTGCAAGGAGTGGAGAGCACTATTGGAGCGAACTATAGAACAGAGATTTGTAAACACGTTCGCGAAAACTCTTACAGAAGGGATGGACAGGTGTTATCAGATAAGGAATTTCAGGCGTTCGTGGCTGAAGGAAAAATAGCGCATTTGAAGAAGTATATAGCGGCGTAAAAATTTAGAATCGACAGTTTTTAGCGAGAAATTCCACCGTGTCAATCAAGGCTTAGAAAAAAATTAAGTAATGTTCTGTTTAGATTCCAATGTCATTATTATGAGCATGCATTCAAAATTGATGTAGTTATTTTTTCGTTTTTTACGTGTTATCTTTCTGTTTTGATGTTTGCTAACCAGGTCAGACTCTGTGTTTGAAAGCTCATTCGTTAAGTAAGACCCGTAACCCATTCCATTACTTTGTTTTGTCAATGTACATGCCATACTTTCAGCTGGCAGTGCCTGTGTTGAATAAATAAATAGATAAATAAACAAATTAATAAATAAATTTGGAGAAAGACGGGGTAAGAATAATAGTTATACACGTGGATCAAACACTCAATAAGACGAAGCACGACCCAAGTAGTGCCTGAAATGAAACAGTCATTGCGGCTTTAATTGGCGTTTGTTGAGAAACATATGCGTAAATAAACCATTCGTCAAGCATTTTTAATTAATGACGTTTTCGAAGGCACAGTGTGCATTTATATCTAAGCAGATGAAAACTTAAAAAGGCAAACATGATTTAACCAAAGGCAGCAATTTGTGTATCGCGTTTTACTGTGTCGTATTTTTTTTATTCCACAGGGACGTTTTTGTAACAGCAAATATTTTCATTTTTGAAGAGAACAGTCCTAAACTTCGTTCATGGCAACCGGCGGTCTATTCTATGCTTTCAAAGTTCACTGCACAAATTTTATCATCACGAAGTGATAGCTCAATTAGCACTTGTGGCACCGCTATACTTTGGAAAAGGCTACAACAACCATTGTAGATATTCAAGAGTAACCAAAGCGCTTGTGAGCAGTTGAAGCTTGCATGTTTTTTTTTTCGCTGTGCGATATCATTTGAGAATCGTGTGTTAACGTAAAAGTGCGTCATGCGCTTGTGTCCACAGCCGGTGCTGACGTAATCACACTTCAAGAGCGCCGTGTTGCTGGTTCCTCACGTTAGCTTCGAGCATGTGTTCCTGCTTTAATTAAAGCACATTGACCTATGGCGTGCACTATGCTGTATTAGATTTCATTACGGGCATATTCCCCGTAGACAATGGTGGCTGAAGAGGCCAGCTTGGTGCTCTGGACAAGTTTGATTCCGTCTGCACAGAGCAGTGACCTAGGAGTCATTCTGAGTTTTGTCGCCTTGGCCACAGACGAAGAGCTGTCGTAAACTTAAACTTCAAGGTCACGGAGTCAGCACTGTCAAGGCTGCTACTTGAGCACCTGTAAGGATTCCAATAAACTTTCCGTATCCATCGTATATCGAAGCTGCTCGTGCCGCGCGCATGGTGTAAGCTGCTTCGGTCTAAACGGAGCTAGCAGCGATCGCCTGTAGATAAATTTTGTTTCAACGAGTATACATGCCATCTTGTTATCACGAAAAATCGATCACATGTCATGGTATCTGTAATAATGTTTGTTATATAAAAAAAGTTGCAACTTCTGCCCTATATTGGAAACGAGTTTTACGTTGTTCGTTACATGCCAGCATCCGTTTGACCGCAAACGATTGCCACCTAGGTCCAATATGGATTCTTAACAGTTAATGAAAAAGCCTTAAACGCACAACGTTGAAATGGTAGCGCAATAGAAAGTACCACTAAAGCAAAAATAAATGTGAGGAATCTGTAGGTATTCTCCTCGGAGTCCGAAGGCGGATTCGATGGCAAACACGTTACTTACGTTCTCAGCCTCGAAATGTCACCGTAAAGCAGGAACAAGAACATTTCAATGGAGCACAATTGATTTTAACGAACGAGTTAACTCAATCGATCGTTATTGAAGAAATGGTTCTAGACGATTAAGTACAAGGATATCAAACCTCCATAAGAAAGAATAGGTTAAAAAATGAGAAATATTTAAAAAAAGTATACGCTTGGTTTAATGCATAAAAAAGGGAGAAGCAAAAAGACATCACTCTTTCCCTTAATGAAACCAAGAAAGGCACAAAAAGGCACAAATATTTCAAGTGAATACTAGGTTCTAGAGTATTCTGAATGTTTAATGATGTAAGGTGTTATTTTGTTTAGCGGTTATACATTATGTTACTGCCCAGCAAATTCTTGTATTTACCTAGGAAAGCATGCTTGATAGACACACAAAATATTTTTTTTGGTTTTAGATTAACGTATGCTCTTGTTTATCTTGTTTGGCCTCAACTACAAAATTTTGTATTTTACACCTACTGACTGTTCTGCAATATTGTGTGTGATATTTCGGACGCTTTTATTTTGTGCCGTTTTTGTGAAGCTACAAATAGCGGCCGATGAACACTGAAGGCACGAATATGTCCTACGACATCGTTTCTGCCCAAAAGAAAGTATTTCATGCATTTCCCTACCTTCTGTGGACTTTTGTTTCCACTAAGGAATTAAAACTAGTGGACGAATGCGGCCACGCTGAGAGAACCAAAACCGAAACCCCTGCGACGCAACCTGGCAACCACGTAATAAAAAAGGTTCTCCGTAGTTTTGCTGAGCGCCGACAGGCGGAGCGAGGCGTGCGCCGCGGAGCGCGTTTCGGAAAGCGTCTCTCCGCACGCAAAACATCCGCTAGGCGGCTAGGCCTCTTAGTGGTGCGGTTGAAATATCAAGACGCGGCAATGGTGACTGAATAGTTTGCTGGTTGTGCGTGTGCTGTGTGTTTGCTTATGGTCGCAAGTGGAGGGCGGAGGTGGATACTCGATTACTAGGGGGACGCACGCCCATCGCAGCCCGCTGCAAACTTTCGTGGACCGTCTTACACGGATTATCATCTACGCCTAGTCGGAGGAATGTGGAAAGCGACGCTTGTTATCCTACTACTGCTCGCCGTCAATGGAGTACAACTCACAGCCGAAAAGGTACTGTGCCCCGACACTGGGACGCTTGCTCTGCCGCTGTCGCTCGGCGAATTTTGCATGTAGCGGATACCTTCCCTTCGCGGTAGCGTCGGCTACTTTCGACCGAAGCCGGGTAGCGCTTACTGGCGAGCAACAGCTGCGCTTGGCGCAGTTTCTTGCTTTAATGCGTTGCCAAGGTTAGTGACCGAAGCGAGGCAGCGGGCGATTTTCACGCGCGCGTTCGAGTTTTCGAAGTCATAGAAGCTTTACCGCTATACTCGCGTGCTTTGACAGGCGCTGGCTTTCGTGGGTTCGCGAGTGTTTTAATAAAACAACGAGAGGTTGTTTAGCCGTTCCCGTGAGCTGCGCTGGGCACTCGAAAAAGAGCCGCTGCCGGTTTTTGTGTTTGCTTCGGAAATGTTATCGGACGCACCGCTCCGAGCTAGAAGTCATCCCGTTGTGGCACTGTGCCGCCTCTGATAAAGCGAGCGGGGCTTTTCTGTCGAGTGCGGCGTTCGCTTGGTTTCTCCTCCATCGACACACCCTTCTTGGAGAGTGGTGCTCGTATCGCGGCCCTCCCTGGAGAAGTGCCGCACCGGACGGGCGTTTTGCTAGCACGAGCTGGCGTTCTACCGCCGGCAACGCGTTGCCGGCCGACGTAAAATATCGTGGCGTGTTTCATGCACCGCCTTTCCTAAAGCGCGTCTTTTACGCCTACGCTTCGAGCGTTGCGTCTCTGTCCTGTGCAGGCAGTTCGTGACAGTCGCTTCGCAACTTTTCGTCCGCTTCCTCATTTATGTAACCCGCTTTGTTCACTGACGTTTAAAACTGGCAACCTCCGCTTGCTTAAGCCTAATGACTGCTTTGCTATTGATTTGAATGAAGTCGAGCGCCCTTAGTTTCGCCGCATGCGTTTGCGTTCATTGTTCTCGTAACACCGGACCGTGTAGAGCGCTGCCTCGACATAGTGCGGTGCGCCCGTGACTCAGCCCGAACGTGATAGTGGGTATCCCCGGTTTCGCTGTCAAAATGAGCTGTCGTATCCCTTGCGTGGTGCAGTACAACACATGCCGGTGTTTGCTTTCTAGCGGCACACGTTGTTCGTGCTCCGCGTAAGGAGACACTACCGCACATGGGTGCCATGTGTGCCGCTCGGGAAATGTCGTGCACCGGCTTAGTTCGGTGCATCGCGCGGTGCGCTCTCGCGCGAAGCTCGCTCGCAAGCCGGTCTTGCGAGGGCGGAGCAGTTCGACCACGCTGTGTTCCGGCCCGGCCCTAAATGGAGCGGACTGCTCTCGGAACTGAACAAATTGGGTGCACTGGGTCGCTTAGCTTGTCTGTAGGCATTGGTTACCTGCAGGTGGATTCTCTAGTCCTTGTTCGTTCCTGTACTTCGCGCCCAGCGGCGTTCGTTCTGTAATCCTATTACGCTGCTCTCTCGCCTTCTCGGTCAACGTTCGTAAGTTCCGTCAAACCTGGACGTTTAGTTCGTATTTGGCCTGTGTCCGCGTTCCCTCACCCCTTTTTTTTTCTTGTAGTTTTGCAAGACACCTGGTTGTTCGCTGTAAATTAATATGAGCAAAGCTGTTTTAGACGCGCAGTGTGGACGCCGGTTGTTACGTTGCCACTTGAACGAGAGCTCCTTTCGTTTGAGATATCCGGCTCGCGGACGGCACAAATTTCTCCAGCAGCGCTTCGCCACGGCTTCGATTGGGCTCTTCGCATATGAATGTGCGCTGCACAATACGATATAGCTGTTTCCCTGAGAACCGGTCTTCAGTCTAATGAAAGCACGTGCAGTTGCCTCGTTGTGGGCAACTGATATGCTAATCGAGGCAGAGAAATTGCCATCTTTCCTAGTGTTACGAAAGGTCGTGCGAGGCCCTATCATGTTCCTTCGGTTTCCGTAGTGGTAGACCAAAGTGACATGAAGATGGCTCGAAAATTCCTTTAGACTTCCCTCAACCAAGTCTACTAGCATAAAATGAGGTAAATATCTAATCCGTTCAACTGGTGGTAGTCGATCGTTCTTGAGCAAAAATGTCGCAGGGAGTGGTGTTCATGTCGTGCCAAATAACCGAACCTTTGTAATCCGGACCACGCTTTTTGTAACGTTAGCGCAGGATAGAATAGATAAGAAGCGATTACAGACGTGTTCAAACCGTCCTTTTTCAAATCTTACGTAAACTAATTTTTTTTTCCCAGAAGTGTCATGCCTTTATATCGTGACGTAAAGTGTATTACACCCCTCCAATGCCTCGCTTAGGCTGGCGATACCAGTGTGCTATTCATGTAAAGTTCGTTAATTTGTGGCGTTTTTTTTTTTTCTTGTACTTTCATTACGCTAGCAAGGCTAGCGTCTTTCGCTTCCGCTGTGTGCCTCGTGAATGTCTAGGTGGGTCGGGTTTTGCTCCGCCTCCTCTATCAAGCCGCCATCACTGTTGGGCACACACCGAACAAAGTTGGCCCGAGCCAGTCTCCAACGTTGTTTAGACTAAACCCTCACCCCGCCCCCCTCCCTTCAAGTCATTCCGGACGTTCTCATTAAATCTATCGGGTCGAACCAGTAGTCTTGTTCGCTGGTTCACTTCCCCCCCTTTTTTCCTTTAGCGTGTTCATTTGGACGAGCCATGAGTATCGCGTTATCTGACAGTCCAATCCAATCAGTTCAGAGCTCGCTCCGGGGCGATGGTTCTCGTTTAGTGCAACTTGTTTTGGGAGGAATGAGGAGGGCTTCGTTCAATCAGTATATACAGCAATACTGCAGCTTCTCGTGTTCAACTTTCTTTTTTTTTTTTTCTTCTGTCGTGCCTCTTCTTAGCTGCGTAACATGTCTTACACGCGCTCATTTAAGTCTTTCCTATCGTCTCAGATGTTCGATGGCGGCGATGGTGTTCTTCTGCGATAAGGGCCAGACCTTTAGTGCTTGATGAGCAAAACTTAACTGGTACAGCAAGATACTGTAGAGGCGGCGAAGAACACCCGGTTTAGTGTAGTTGAGTACTCCCCCAACCCTCCTTTCCATTCAATTTAGCCGGCGTAGGCTCGCCAAGATCGTAGAAGACGTTAAATTTTTTTTTTTCGTATTTCGTGACTGAACTCTGCGTCCGCCCTCAATTTGTGGGGGCCACGGATTTCGACGTATTTTTGCAGTCTTCATAACTTTGATCATTATCTTGCGGTAACATAAGTATGGAAACTAGTTCTGGGATATCTGAGTGTAGTGCGACCTACTTCTTGACTGATAAGCGTACATATGGCCTCGGCATACGATTTCGGTGTGAGGTTGGGTCCATCGGACGTAAAGTAGGGCGTTTTAATGTCTCCATTGGCCTTTCGCGCTACCGCTGTCGATAAGAGCTAAGGTTTTTTTTTTTTTTTTTTTGTACTGTCCAAACTTTCTAGGAATACAGCTGAAAAAGGTACTATGTCTCTGATTTCAGTTTCTGAGCCGTAATGCGGTGAGAATTGCGTAGATGCACGCACGTTTGAAAGTTTTCCGCAGTAACTGCACAGTTAACCCGAAAACGGTGCTTTGCTACCCAAAAGGTTGCGAAAGTAGGCACACAGCTAGGTAAGAAGGACGCTTTCTTACCTTGTGCACTTTTCGTGTTCCCCTTTCTTTTTGGAGTAACTGCAGCAATGTTCCTGCCACGTGCAAACGACCCATCGGTACCGCAAAACTTTTCCTACCAAATGGTGCCGCGGGCTTGTGTGGTGCAGGGGACAGTGCCCGCACTCGCTGAATCTGTGGTCGCGAGCTGGAATCCGATGTTCTCGCTGCAAATTCTTAAAATTTATTTGATTGCGATGCTTCCATGTCGATTGTACGTCGAAGCACAAGTTTGCATTCTCTTCAAAGTGCTCTTAAGTCAACCAAGATGCGATTTTTCCTTTGTGCAAAAAATAACTGTTGCTCTCTTGGGGTGGTGCACATGTATCAGGATAGGAGGGGAGGAGTAAGCTGTGCAGCTACCCCCAACCGGGAACAATGGCTGTGGCAGGCTAATTGCTCCCCTAAAGGAGCAACTGCTCTACCCCTTTTTTGTTTTTACTTCAGTTTGGATTTCGCGCATTCCGATAATTGTGTTAGGGGCTGGTTGGAACAATAAACACGAAAGTACACGACACAACAGCTAAGATTTGTGCTCTATACTCAAGCACATTCGTGCATACAGTCTATTCCCGTCTCGTTCGCCATAGCCACCGTGAGTGCATTCCGAATTGCTCATTTTGCAACTCGACACCTCCTGGTCGCGCGGTTCTGTTGTGCTGGCCCTGGTGTGGGTGGTACTGATTGGTATTCGCGATAACCCGCGGTTTTACTGCACCGATGTACTCGACTGCAAATAGTGCCGATTCGCGTGCGAAAGGGGCAAACCATGACCAGGAAAGCGAGTCCGGGCGCGCTGGAAACAACCTTACGACGATGACTACGTGAAGTGAAGGTGCGTGCGAGAGCGTTCGGTTACGACAATCGATACGACGACGATCTTTCGTTTCCTCGATGCGTTCGAATCTGTCCCGTATAGGTGAAGCCTTTAGCGGCCTCTCCCCCCAGGGCCTGTCTTTAGTTCGCGGCTATACACGCTATGCACACAGCGTAGCTCTTCGGGACGCGTCCTCGTGCGGCACTCTCGGAGACTCGCTGGTGCGTGTATACGCGATCGGCCGACCTCGCTTTATCGCGCCAGTAAGTTGGTGCTGATGCGTTTCCTGCGCCTGCCTGATCGCTTTTGTGGCCTCCAACCCCCACCCCCCCCCTTTTTTTTTCCCCTCGCGCGGCCTCAGGCGCGACGCATCTTCAGTCCACCGATGATAAGGGAAGTGATGGCTCGACTTCAGCGTTTTTGTTTCATTTCTCTTCATGGCCCGCATCAGCGTCCCCCGTCGTCTGCGTGCTTACATGCGCGCGATGGAATCGTCGCGTGGCCCTCGCATTTTCTGCTCCGTTGCGGGCTCGCAATACTCCCTCTCCCCTCGCCTTGCCGACGTTGCGGTTTTCAACCTCGTCAGGGGAC